CTTCCTCGGTCCCCCGCGCCCCCGGCCCGGATTGGATGGGGTCGGGCCCGGAGCCATGGGACGCAGGGGTCTTGGGCTAACTTTTTGGTTAAAAAAAATCGTATCTGGCGCGCTATGGGGAGAGGCACCTCAGAGCAGTCTGTTGGGGCTCGTGGATTCCTCATGCTCGAGGACGCCTAGGAAGGAAGCGGAGGGAAGCTCCGAGGCTACAGGTGGGTCTAGGGTGCTCGGCAAAGGTCAGGCTGGCCGCGGAGTACAGGTTCGGGAGGGCGCGAGGCTGGGGTGGGCTGGGGTGAGGTGGGGTGGAGACGCCTCCCGGCCCTTCCATGTGCACCCTGGGACAGGGGCTTGTTCCCGGGGCAGGGGTGCTGGATGGGCGGGAACAGACCTGCGGCGCGTTCAGAGGAAGCGCCAGGGCTACTGGACGCCCAGAGACTCGGGGCGCGGGAAGTCCCCGGCCCTGAAAACGGGCATTTCCCTCTGTGTAGTAGTGTTGTTGTTGTTGTTGTTGTTGTTGTTGTTGTTGTTGTTGTTGTTGTTGTTGTTGTTGTTGTCGTCCCCCTCGTCCTCATCCACTTTCCTAGGCTCCAAGGTCAGGGCGGGGGTGGTGGCGGCGTTTCTTTCTGGAAGCCTGGTGGCCCGCCATGCACAGCCCCCTCCTGGGCCAGGGCTGTGCCCTTGACCTAGAGTGTCTTTGGTAGCGAGAACCGCGAGAACCGCGTGGAGGCCAAGGTGCACTCCTTGGGCACGCTGCCTCCCTGTTGATTGCTGCCCTGTGCGTTGTGGCTGATCCCAGGCACCCTCGGTGGTGTCTGTGAGTTCCTTAGGGGGCTTAAAACAAACAAAAAGTATTAAACAAAAAAATAAGTCTGACACCAATCCCTGCAGTTGAGTGGCTGCCCCGGTTCCCAGCAACAGTCTCTTCTTGTAATTAGTACAGCTGTTTTCAGATGCTGGGTGCAGTCCTGCCAGGAGTCTTCCAGTCCCTGCTATCCTGTGTCATCTCAGGATAAGTGAGGCCCTGCCAGGCGGAAGGACAGGCGTAATGTGAGCGACCTTTGGGCCTGTGGGTGGGGCGTGCCCTACACCCCACGTGTCCCCTGGCCGCTGGGATTCCTAATTTGTCCCTCTGAACAGCTGAATTCCCCACCAAGTTCAGGTGACCCCAGATGTCACCATCCCACAGAAGGGTTAAGCAGCAGGCTGTTCGGGGCTCTTTGCTGCGTGTGTGCTAACCTCAGTGAAATCACTTTAACCTCAGATGGAGCTCTGCCTCCTCTTCTGCCTTTGGTGAGGTTTCTGGCCAGAGAGCTGGGACGTCATTCACTGGCTGCATTTTGTATAGCAAGTCACTGGGTTGGTTTCTCTTTGTTTGTCTTTTGGCTGCATGGACATGGGGCAGATGGAGGTGGGGTGCAGTGAGCTAATAGATTTGGTGCAAGAATTGAAAGGGAATAAATTGGGGGTACAAGTCAGTGAGTTCTTTTTCTCCCTCTTAAGCAGGAATTTTTGGCTTCCGTTCAAATAATTGCTTTGTCTGTAGGGAAGCAGGCAGAAAATCTTTGGCATGAGTGATGGGAGTTCCTGTAAAGCCACTTGTGTTCTTCCAGTCCTAACTTTTCAACAGAACTGAAATTAAAGGAACCCATGTCTTGGTGGTCATGGGTGTCTTGCTCAATTGCTAAGTTGGTGGGCTGAGGAGAGGGCACTGGAATGCTTTTCCCTGCCCATCTTGTTTTAAAAAATAAAGAAAAGTGGCGAGAACATTGACCACCCAAATACCCATATCTAGACTCTGTGATTTTCCAGTATTGGCTTTATTATACACCTGACCATTATTGTTTTATATATTTTAAATTAAATTGCAGACATTGGTCCAGATCACTTCAAAACATTTCAGCACACATTTTATTATTCAATCTATGCACATGATTTTCCTAAGGTAAAATTTATACATATGGTGAATTTATATATACATACATATATGCATATGGTGAAATGCGCAAACCTTGAGAATAACATTTGCATAATGTTTTGACAGACGCGTGCACCTGTGTAACCTCAGTATCAAGATAGAGAATGTAGCTGTCACCCCCAGAAAGTTCCTTCACCCCCATTCCCAGTCAGTCCCTGTCCCGACCCCTTCCGTGGCAACCGGCTGCTTGGGTTGTTTCTCACTCCAAGTTCGTTTAGACTGGTCTTGAACTTCCTATAAGTGGAATTCCACAGCATTGTGTAAGGCTTCTTTCACCCAGCATGTTTTTGAGATTTATCCGTGTTTTAAGTACCAGTCATTTGGTCTTTCTTTTTTTTTTTTCAATTGCTAGCTTATATTCCAGGCTAGGTCTCTACCACATTGTGTTTTTGCATTCCCCTGTTGATGGACATATGAGTTATTCTCAGGTTTAGGGGTAGGGGACTGTAAATGAAGCTGTGATGAATATTTGTGTACAAGTCTTTCTGGGGATATATGCTGTCCCGTCTCGTGAGTAAATGGAGTGGAGTTGCTGGGGCATAAAAAAGATGTATGTGCACCTTATAAGAAACTGCTAGACCTTTTTCCCAGCGTGGTTGTACCATTTTGCACTCCCACCAGCAAAGAAGACAAATGTGAGATTCCAGATACGACCACTGATTTTCCTCTCCCAAAGTCAGGAGCATGGTTGACCAGTGTTCTTCCGGGGCCAGAGGGGGCCAGAAATTGGGACCACCCAAAACCATCTGAATCACGTTGTTTCCATAGGTGGAGGAGCTAAGAGAGGTCCCCAACTCTGCCAGGAAATGGGTTTACTCTTAAATTATTGCAGACGATCAGACAAATATTTTATTTTTAGAGATCTTCAGAGAAGGGAATTCCACAGGGGAACATACCCTTGATTATGAAAGAAGATTGAGTGCTTTCTATATAAAGAAAAATAACCCTCAAGCCCCACAGAATTCCACGAAACTTCTGCTTCAAAAGTTCTGGGGGATTTTTGGCCTGTTGGTCTGGTTTCTGTGAACCTGGTGGAGATTCCTGTTGGATCTCACCGGCCTGTGCAGCTGGTTGTTGAAAGTGGTGATGTCTGCTTTGGGAGGTAGATCAGAATTGAGGTTTTTGAAGGCTCTAAGAACAGCTCTCATGTTCAAGTGTTTTGGCCTGTCAACACCCCCTTATTGTCCTGGCAGAGAACATGGGTTGTTCCCCCTGGGGTCCCCTTACACCTTAGTCCCTGTCAGTGGACCAGTAGCCAGACCTGGTTTGGCTGATCCAGGAAACAGGAATTGAGCCTCCTGCCTGATTGAATCCCCAGGATGAAGTTTTTGCATCTCGCCGGTGGGTCTCAGTGGGGTCAGATGACAAACAGGGCTGAGTCCTAAGACACTGGGCTGTGTGTGGGGGACTGTTCTCCTCATCCGACAGCCTAGTACGGCGCCTGCCTCAGAGCAGAGGCCCCGAATGAATCCTGCGACTCTCAGTACCCCTCTGGGTGACTGCCTCTCAGGAAGGGGACAGGGAGGGCTGAGATGTCAGGGCCCCAAGACATGTTTTCCTGTGGCCTGGGAAAGAGGCCCAAAGTGTTAGGAAAATGGTGCCAACTGTGAACTTTCACTCTAGTAGCACCGTTCTTATTTTATTACAGATTTTACTGTTGTTCTTAGCAAAGTAATAATCATAGCTACTCCCTTGCCAAGTGCCCACTCCTCACCAGGCGCTGTCAAGCACGTTGCGTGAAGTCCCTGAGTGTCTTCCTTGTAAAAGGCGGATACTGTTATTATATGCATTTTGGCCTTAAGGAAACTGACACTTAGCAAGGTTAAGTAACTTGCCGTGAGTTCACATTTTCATGTTTCCTAGACATTAAGGGAAGAAATTGGGATGTTCTGGTTTTGCAAATGCAGATTCCATCTGCAAGCACAGATTTCCAGATGCATGACGCCATCGTAGAATAGAAGTGTCAACTGGAGAGGTGGAACAGAGTTGCAAGAAATGGCACCCTTGAATCACTTTCTTTTTTAATTTATTAAAAAGTTTCTTTTTTTTGTTTATTGAAGTGTAGTTGATTTACAATGTTGTGTTAGTTTCTGGTGTACACCATAGTGATTCAGTTATATATATATATATATATATATATATTCTTTTTCATAATAGGTTATTATAGGATATTGAAAAGAGCTTCCTGTGCTGTACAGTAGGACCATGTTGTTCATCTACTTTATACATAGTAGTTTGTATCTGCTGATCCCAAACTCCTACTAATTTATCCCTTCACTTTGGTAGCTGTACTTTTGTTTTCTATGTTTGAGCCTGTTTCTGGTTTGTAAATAAATTTATTTGTATATATATTTTTTTAGATTCCACATATAAGTGATATCATATATGACATTTGCATTTCTCCCTTTGGCTTACTTCACTTAGTACAACGATCTCTAGGACCATCCATGTTGCTGCAGTTGGCATCATTTTATTCTTTTTATGGCTGAGTAGTTTTCCATTGTATAAATATACCACAGCTTCTTTATCCAGTCATCTGTTGGTAGACACTTAGGTTGCTTCCATGTCTTGGCTATTGTAAATAGTGCTGCTGTGAACATTGGGGTGCATGTACCTTTTCGAATTGGAGTTTTCCTCTTTCCCAGAAATATGCACAGTAGTGGGATTGCTGGGTTAAGTTTTTGGTCTTTTAAGGAATCTCCATGTTGTTTTCCATAGTGGCTGCACCAATTTACAATCATACTAACAGTGTTAGGAGGGTTCCCTTTTCGCCACACCCTCTCCAGTATTTATCATTTGTGGACTTTTATTAAAAGATGGCCATTCTGACTGGTGTCAGGTGATGCTTCATTGTGGTTTTGGTTTGCATTTCTCTGATAATTAGCGACATTGAGCATCTTTTCATGTGCTTATCGGCTGTATGTCTTCTTTGGAGAAATGCCTGTTTAGGTCTTCTGCCCATTTTTTGACTGGGTGGTTTGCTTTTTTGTTATTGAGTTGTATGAGCTGTTTGTATATTTGGAATCACTTTCTTAAGTCTTTTTTTCTTTTTCATTTTGTTTTAAGCTTTCTGAGATCTGGGGCCTAGACAGAGGTATGCATTTTGGTGACAGCTTAAGATGTTATTGGTTGATGATGATTGTCATTTTATTGTAGGGAAAGAAAGACATTGCCAGCTGTTTGGTTTGAGTGTCTGTCTCTGAGCTGTCCAGTACAGGAGCCAGCTACATGTAGCTA